AATCAATGTACTAAAGTAATCAAATATTCAAGTATATGAGTATATGATAAAAAAATTTTTATTTGCTATTTTCAACATTTCAAAAATAGCGATAAAATATCTTAACAATTATTTAATTAAATTTGCTAAAAATCTTTTTATTTTAATTTTAAAATTATATAAAATTAAAATAAAAAAATTAGAATGTAGCGACTTAATGAAGTGGTTAAGTTGTTGCATCTCTAAGCAGCAAGTTGGCAAGTGGAGGTTCGAAACCTACTGATAGTAAAATTTTGAATATTCTGCTTATATAATGGCTACTGTTTTTCAACGATTAGTTGAAACAGAATCTCTGTAATCTTAATTGCACTAACAAAATTGAGAGATCATGGCATTTGTGCAATGTATAAGTTATACAAAAGTATACAAGTTAGTATTAGTTAGTGCAAATCTAAGATAAGACCTTGTGTTTATATAAATTCAAGAAACTGGAAAGATTGATGCCTACTTGACAAGATCTGAATAGAGATGTAGCACAAACTTTCAACAGTAGCTATTGAAATAGATTTTACACAAGGCTGAAGAACTGAATATGACAAGAACACCTGGCAAGTTGTTTTATTAACCAGACTACTAGCTTGAGCATTGACCAGAGGAAAAGGATCAGCAGATACCACAGAACCAGTATCCTTTCTGGGCTATCTGAATTGATAATTTGAGGAGACCGGCTAAAGGGTACTGAAAGAAAAAGTACTGGGTTGTCTTGAAGGAAAAGTACTAGAGTTTGAGTAAACTTTGTAAGGACCAGAGGGTTTGACAGTATGGCCTGGCTATAAAGGTTTAGAACCTATCTGATAAACTTATTTGCGAAAAGAATTGTGGTCTGCCCATAAAGATATAGAACCTATCTGGCAAGACTTATCTAAAAAAAACTAGGTAATATGATAATAGTAGGTAACAGATTGCTCTAACAGGTGATGATCTTGAGAATAAATTGGTTAACCAAGCTAGTAGTCCTATAACTAATGTACCGCAGGTTCTGAGTGAGGTTAAATAGATTGGCATAGAAAACTCAAATCAGAGGATTTAATTAAGTAATCCAAATAATATGTAGGTTATAGATATGGCATCTAGTGTAGAACTTAGTAATAAGCAAACTATTTAAATTAAGCATTCAAAAGGTGCAGATATAGCTAGAATGTACTTTCGTCAGAAAGACCAAATTTTTTTTAAGTAAAAGTTTTCTTAACTTTAAAATTAAATATTTTAACAACTATCTTATTAAATTTAATGAATTTATTTATTTATTTTTTTTTTGTAGACAAGGTTAGCCTCTTTGGTTTATCACTTTTATTACTATAGATTATAGAATCATGTGGTGCTCTTTTTTAATGAAACCCCAGACAATTCTACTAACTTATTCCATATCATAGTTAATTTAAAGTATGACTTTATAAAAAACAATTTATATAGGCTGTTAATAAAAATTTATAATAGTGATTATAATACAATTGTGATTATATAGATATAAAATTAATATTAAAAAAATTTAGTAAATAGACAGATGCAATTATATTAGTTTTGTAACTACAGTATATGGAGTATAACTATATAGAGGTTAGATTGTATTTGGTTACTGGTTTTAGGAGTAAGTATTAAACATAGTTTTTTAGCTTATACAATAAGTGAATTTTAACAGATAAAAACATGTTTTGTCAAAAGATTTAATTAAAATATTGAATTTTTTAAATTTTAATAAATAAATAATCTTTTTAGAAAAGGTTTAAAAATCATATCCTCTATTTAAAATTGCATTCTCTATTTAATTTTTTCATATAATTAACCTTGATCACACCATATAATTTGCTTTATTACATTGCATAATTCTAAACATCCTACTTGGTTAGAACTCCTTTAGTTCACCTACAAAATTTTTTTAACACCAATTAGATTGAAGGATTAGATGTAATATAAAAATTATATCTTTTTGTTTTTTTTACAAAAATCACTAATAACTCAAAATTTTGTTTATAAAACTGCTTTTTGTATTTTAAAAAAAAAATTTTTTGCAAAATTTTAGTATAACTTATATCTATTTCTTGACCTTAATCCTAATCTTAAAATAATATTTATTGCACTAAATCTTTCATTTATTTAATTATTTTGCTTTTGTGTATTTGATCGTTTTGATTTTACACTAGGTAAATGCAAAGCATTGTTTGTTTAAAACTTATTTAATTAGTAATTTTCCACTCAACCAGAGAGAGCTTATAGTGTATTGTGATGCAGTTTCTATATAGAAATTAGGGTTTTTTGAATGTGAGCTGCTTCTATCTAAAACTTTTTTGTACTAAGTTGATCACTTTTGGCCTCTAATTGAAGTTGTAGAGCTCATCAAATGAATCTAATAGTAGTTGAATTATCAAAATCAACCTTGTAGATCACGAAATATCTTCAAAAAACATTTTGCTGACTATGTAGTAAACTTTTCTTTCAACAATAGTATTGTTAAAAGAGAAGTTTACATAGTTAGCAAAACATTTTTTGAAAATATCTTGTGATTTACAAGGTTGATTTTGATGATTTAACTACTATTAGATTTGACTCAATGAGCTCTACAACTTCAATTAGAGGCCCAAAGATGATTAACTTAGTACAAAAAAAGTTTTAAATACAGTCAGCCCTCTCTAAATGCATAATGTTAGGACTATAGTAAAAAATTGAAAAAATATGCATTTAAAGAGATTATGCATTTAGGGAGGTAAAAATCTATAAGTATTATATTAGTTGGATCCAAAAAAAGATATGCATTTAGGGAAGTTTTTCATATATATGCATTTAGAGAGGTTGCATTTAGGAAGTCCAACTGTAGAAGCAGCTTATATTTCAAAAACCCTAAAATTTTTGTGAACTCTAAATCATGTGAGTGGACAGACAGAAAATGCAAAGTTACTTTTTTGATATTTTAATATATAATGCATCAAAAAAATAATTTTTGTATCACAATGCATAGAAATAAATAGTCTGTCACTTCGTTCCAGACAATTACACCTGATCTTTCAATCTAATTAGCTAAAAATTACATGCTGTAAAAATTTTATGGGTGAGCTACTAGATATCTTGATTGGTTGTAAGTCATATAAACACAACTGGCTTTAGACAATGAGTAAGTCTACAGACATCTACCAGCTCACATAAATTGTACTTATGGATCACATGATACTATATTTACAAACAAAACATGTGACTTGTCAGCATAGCAATGATTGATATGAGCACCCAAATTTTTGATGTGAATTTTATAATTGTCTATAACCTTAAGTGAAAATATCTTAGCAACTAACTAACCAAATTCAATGAATTATTTTATTTTGATTCTATAGAGCTGTAGAATTATAATAAAAAGAAGTTCACCAAATTTGGTTGGCTGGTCACTGAGATATCTTTATTCAAACTCTTGAAAATTCTAAACACATATCAAGAGCTAAGAATTTTTGTAAACTCTAAGCAAAGATAACATGGCATTTACCCAACCAAGTTTGATGAACTTTTATATTAATTTGATTTTATAATATTAAAAATAAAAACAAAATTTATTGAATTTGGTTAGGTAGTTGTTGGATTATCTTCGCTTAAAGTTTTATAAAAATTTAATTACAGCTATTATTAAACCTTGAGTGAAGATAACTACCAAATTTGATGAACTTTTTTTAATAATACTGTAGAATCAAAATAAAAAAATTCATCAAATTTGGTTAGTTGGTTTTGAGTTATTTTCGATAAAAATTTTGCATAAATTACTTTGTTGTGCTTTAAATTTTCAAAGATTTTGAACAATGATATCTCAGCAACCATCCAACCAGGTTTGATTGACCTTTTTATTATGACAGCTCTGTAGGATTAAAATAAAAAAGTTCATCAAATTTAGTTGACTAGTTATTAAGATATCTTCGCTTAAAGTCATAATCAGTTTCAAAAATTTTGGGGTGCTTATATCGATCATTACTGTTTTGATATGTAATAAGATAAATCACATGTTGCTTGTAGATAATATTATCATGTGACTAGTAGGTACAAATTACATAGACTGGTAAGTGTCTATAGACTTACTCTTAGACAACCTCCATTTTTGAATGTGATTAGTATCACTTGCAGAATCGTTTCTCAGCATCACCACCAAATTTTTTTTTGATTACATGATAGCACCAAAATTCTTTAGAATTCATTTATACAGTCAGACCTCAATATAATCACCAGGTTGGAAAACAAAATTTTGGTGATTATAAAAAGTTGTGACTATATGAAGGTCAAAATTTATATATTTATAATAGCAAGGTCAAAAAAAATAGTGTGATTATAACAAGGTTGTGACTATATTGAGAGTGACTATAACGAGGTCTGACTGTATTAGGATTAAGTTCAAAATTAGGGTTAGAAAGGTCTAGTATATTGTAAAAGGAAAAACTTAACCTGTTTCAGGGGGTATAGATAGTTTAACCTATTCATAGAAGGTATAGATATCTTATCCTATATCTAAGAGGTACAAATTATTTAATCTATACCTTATATATAATTTGTTATTGTTACAAACTTCTGTTTTAGATGCGTACATTTTTGTATCACTTATATTCAACTTAACTACTATATTTTATCAACCACAAATTAATGACACATTCGAAAGTCATAATGAATTTGTTAATAAAATTAAAAGTTATGCTCGTAATCTTGGTTTTATTATTAGACTTGGAAAGTCTGAACACTTTAAATCTGAAAATAAAACAAATTGTTTAGAAAAGACTATTCGAAAAAGAATATTATTATGTTTTCAAGCTGGTTTTCCTAAATCAAAAAAACACAATTCTAATGAAACTTCAAAAAAGAATGAAATCAAGTATCTCAATGTTGTGGCTGTTTTTTTTTATATTTGTGCTTCATTAAATACTTTAAACAGTTTATGGCAAATTATTAATATGAATCTTATTCATAATCATCAAATGATCAAAGAAAATTATAGATTTTTTATGTCTAATGAACGAAATATCTCTGATGATGTTAAACAACAAATAGAATTATTATGTCGAGCTGGTGTAGATGTTCCAACTATATATGCAATACTAAAAGAAGAATTTGGTGATCATGTTACATGGATGTATGATGATATTTATAATTTTATTTATCATTTAGAAAGGTCTGGTTTGGAAAAGAGAGAATTAGATGCTGAAGAATTCGTAAAAATATTAGAACAAATTAAATATGACAATGCTGGATTTTTTTATTATACTGATATTAATGAAGACATAGAAAGATTAGAACAAGCTATATGGATGTTTCCTGAGCAATGTATTAATTATAGTAGATTTAATGATATAATTGTTTACGATAATACTTATAAAACCAATCGTTTTAAGATGCCATTTGGTATTTTTACTAGATATAGTATATGTTTTGCTGGTGCATTAATGATCGATAAAACAGAAAATTTTTTATGAATTTTTACTAAATTTCTTGAAATGGTTAATCAATATGCACCTGCAGTTATTCTTACTGATGATGATCATGCAATGGCAAATGCTTATTTCAAAGTTTTGCAACCTTTAGGTACAAAACATCATTTATGTCAATGGCACTTGATAAAAAATGTAATGAAAAATTTAAGTTCAAAGCTTAATATGAACTGGTCAACATTTATTAAAGATTTTTATAAATGTCTTGGAGAAATAGATGTTTTGAACTTTCTTTCTCAGTGGAATATGCTTAAAATATCCTATCCATTAGCAGTAACCTATTTATCATATATGGAAAAAACAAAAGAAAAATGGGCTGCCTGTTTCAATAATGATATATTTATGGCAGACATGACAACTACGCAACGTGGAGAATCTATTAATAATATGATGAAAGGTTACTTAGATGCAAATACATCTCTTACTGCATTTATAACAGCATTTCAATCGGCACTAGATATACAAAATGAAAAAAAACAGAATTTCGAATTTATCAACAAAATAATTTTAACATTATATATAAAACTACAAGTATTTTTGAACGTCAAGCTGCCTCTATTTTAACCACGTTTGCTTTTAAAAAAATTCAAGAACAACTAATGCAATCCTTTATGTACAAATGTGAAGACATTTCAAGGTAATATTATTATATTATTTTGTTGTTTAAAGTTATTAATAATAATACAATTTTTATTATGAACAAATAGTACCCAATCAATTTTTAAAGTTCAAAGATATGAAACGGAAGCCAGTGAAAGAATTGTAGAATATAATTCTAAATCTAACTATTTGACGTGTTCTTGCAAATATACTCATTTTTCGGGATTCATATGTCGACATATTTTTCGAACCGCAATGCAACTTAACTTAGAAGAGCTTCCAGCTAATTTATTTTATAGC